ATGCAGATGCGTTGCCACCACTGAGGACTAAAATGAAATTCCTCGTTTCCGATAAAAAGGTTCTACACTTGCCATATGAAACACAGCAGTATTGCACTGCTATTTTACCCTTGCATTCTGTGTGACCCACCCCAGTCGAGCCGACCGGCTCATGGTTCTTTATCCGTACGTAATTTCGTACAACCAGTTCCTGATTATTCATGTCTTAATGGCATCCAAATAACTCCCTCAGCTCAATAAAAGGCAGTTATTTGAAGATTACAGACAGTCACGTCGATTTTATTTATTAGCATAGATGAAAAATTCATTTTGGAGTATCATACTCATTTTTATAAATACGAGTGACATCAGTGGCGACGGCTAGGATTAAAAACTTATTCATAACGGTACCGGCTTTATAAAGCCTTCGTTTTTTGTCGATATTAATAGAGCTTTCTGAAAAAAAAAAACTGCGAATTGGAGGACGTGCACCGTTAGTTCATCCATTGACATTGATAACAGACCACAATGGCCCACGGCAGCGCGCGTAATACCCGCAATGTATCGCTATTGCGCCTGTGATGAAGAAATCTATTTAACCCGCTCGCAGATACAGGCACTGGTTTGAAGCTACAAAATTGCTAAGTTACTGGAAATGGTAGCCGTCAATTACGAAGATAGAAAATTAAGGGTAATTTGCTTTGTCTGAGCCATCCACGTTGATTTTTTGTTGAGTTCTTGGAAGAAATGTAAAGTCTAAAAATTACACGTGGAAGAACTTAATGGTAATAAATTTATATAACTATATAATAGATACAGAAAATAAGTAACATAGAAGGCACTGGCCAGGATAGGTATTATATAACTTAAATATAATATGTTATTTGTTACTTGAAGATAAATAAATAAATTTAAAAAAATCATAACAGCGAAAGTACGTTCTGATATGGAGATTTAGATTGGGTAGAAAAGTAAGGGCAAACCTCCATGACGATGGTCCGATGACATAAGAGCAATCACAGACTCATTCTAAACCAGAAAAGCAGAAAATGGGACCGAATAGAGAGAAACAGTAGAGTTATTATGTTCAGAAGTGGACGTCTATATCCTGATAAGAGAGAAGAAAGGGAAGGCACTAAGTATAACGTACTATAAAATAAAAACTATATGTATATTGACATAATATTCAATATATAATATAAAATTCCTTAAGCAAGGTTTTCTTGTGTTACATGCATACCTAATTTATGGTCTACACACAGGTAAAGCGTAACGGTGCAATATAGTACCTACTTCATGTCAAAATATAAGAAAACGAACAATGAAATAGCTAAAATGTGCAGCAAACAAAGTGATCAACTAAAAGTCAATTAGATGCAAACATTTGAAATCATTTGTGCCGATTTAGCGTACTTGTACTTAGTTTAGTTCCGTATGATGTTGATTTTAATACTTGCGTTTTGAGTTTAAAGTGGCGATGTTACTGTGTTACTAAGTCTGGGAAGCTTAATATCCTAATCCCATGTAGACAATAAGAAAATAAATTAACAGCATCCTAGGTCAATAACTGATTTATTAGTAAAACGTTAAAGTAGTTTAATAGTGTAACAATTTTTTTTCTTTTATCGAAATAAGGTGAAAAACAAGCACCGAACACCTGATTGTAAGCAGATGCTGTTGCTCACAAACAGCTACATCAATAACCGACTTAAAATTAAAATGCCAATAATTTCTTCAGTATTTCGCATCTTGTCGTTTTGAAAAATCTCGATATAGTAATAATATAAATGTTAATAATATAAATGTTAATGAAATGTCAGTGAACCACTGAAATAGTTTAAGGTTACACAAAATATATTAAAACGTGATTTATGTTGAAAGCACATTGCGTGATGAATTTTAATGTATCTTTCGAAAACTATCATTACATTCCCTCGTTTATTGTAAACAAAAAACACGACTTCCCAATGATGACCTCCTCCATTTACATTTTCTCACATCATTTTTAAACAACGTTATGTAGATGACCGCGTAGCGTCCTCAGATAATCTTATTACACGCATAATACTTCACAAGGTAAGAATGACCGTATAAGGAGTTTTGTAAAAAGCGAAGCAAGCGTCTTCGGACGGTAATTTGTACCATCATTTACGTGAAAAAAAAAATCAATGTTTCGAGCGATCACATGGCGACATTATAGTGCAATAACATTATCAAAATGACAGTGTCCTTCTACCGCACGTACCACTTACACGTGATTAATGAGATGGCCATCTGTTGCGGCCTCTTCAAAGCTGAGTACCGGTTAATATGGCAACCAGTTCAGACTATTGGTTAAACAAACATGCAGTAACGACGATTCGTTTTTTGTTGCTTTATTTTAATCAGTTCTTTTTTAATTTGCACAAGGCAATTCTGTGGTTAATAGTTTATTTTTGATAACGCATTTATGTCTGAATTACACATTTATATCTAAAAATAACAATATTGAATTACCAATAGTAGAGTGGTAGTGACGTAAGAAAATCAACTACCTATATCGTCCCATCGTCCCGTAGATGGCGTAAGAGGCGACAGAGAGATATCAAAACAGGAGATGGACAGTAGTATCTTCCTGATAACAGCGCAAAATAATAATAAAACTGCGGTTCCAAACCTACGGCCAAGCGTGGCAACTATGGCGAATTTTTGAGGCAATCTATAGGACAGGCCTATGTTCCGCAGTGAACAAATGGTGATAAATAAGAAAGATGTTGTCAAGTAAATAAAGAATTCTCGACTTTTAGAGAAACGGAAAGTAGCAGATAACGGCTTATTGCTGGGCACACTCTTATTTCTGGAAAGAGTTAACCGCGGATCCCGTATGCGTTATGTTGACAGACTTCACGCTTCCTGAAAATATTTTCTATTTTCAGCTGAACGCTTTGAAAATAAGCACATGAAATTGTTTTTTTTTATTATTGTATCGAATTCCAGTTCCTTGCGTACCTAAAATTTAACGCGACGGCTCTTTTTGACTTTTTATAAAATATAGGGTAATTTCAATTCATAATATAAATGGATAAGTAACAATAATCTCTTTCACAATACGTTTTCAATAGAAGACTTGACCGTCAAATTTAAATAACGAAGAAGCATTTCTAACTAACGCACGCAGAGTTACATAATTCCCCATTTTCCTGTAAAATCTGTGTATAAAAACTTTTTAAAAATTTAATAACTGTGTGCGGTATTGCCACATCGACCCAGAGATATGACACATGGTTTCTGCTGCCACCAGAGATCTTTCCAATGTATCTGCGATTTATTCGTTATTATAGATATTCAAGGGCGGCGGTGATTACTCACTAAAAGGAGAGCTGCATGTTTGTTACACGTAACCTCTGTATTTTTAATATAAATTAAAATAATTTCCCAATATCAATACAAAATTAAAGTAGGCAGTTGCGTGGGCAGTTCAAGAAATGTGTAATTTTTATTCAATTTTCACCCGCGACATGCTCACCTCGCAAAGGTTATGATTATTCGAAAATTGTCACTTTTCATTATACAAGTAGGTTAATTATCTGTTACCTCCTGCGAATTCTATCCACTGAAGACCTACTGTTCAAGATTGCAAAGTATCATCATCAGTGGTTAACAGAAACGATCTTATTAAATTATACGTTGCAAGTCACCAATTGCGCCTACCACTAAATAAATTATATGATGAATTTCAACCCCAAAAGGTTATATACAATATTTGAATATCAGAATAGTTTTATAACATAAAGTAGTCACTGACAAATATTCTTTTTTTAAATTATTTTGAGAACTACTGTTCTACATAATGTTATAAAAATATATTATAAGTGATATAAATCTCACTATATGGAGTGTTGACCTGATAAGACACGCACGAAGTCGATGGATGCTGCTGATCTAAGAAAGATATTTTATATCAGTTTTCGGGGGGGGGGGGGGGTGTCAATCGGTGCAATTGTGATGGGCTGTCATGGTAAGAGTGTTTTAAATTATAACATAAATTTATTGCACTCACAAAGCAAAATTTAAACGAAGAACCCCTTGCAGCTTATTTATTAGTAACATTGTGTATTCTTTATCGTCAGCTAAGAAGTTTAAATCCCTATTTGATTCCTTTGTCCATCTTGTATCGCGACTTCATGTAGTAGAGGGGTAAAACAACTATGGTAATGCATATATTAGCATTTGAAGATTATGGATGTCTCTCGACAGACGTATATAGTGTTTTCTATGATGAATAAAAAATATTTTAATACATAATGTGTACAAAATACAAATAAAATAAATATGTGCATTTGGTTGTGGATATATTCGTCAATCCATTTTTTCCATCATCATTATGATGATGGAAATCATCAATCCATTTTTTCCATAAATACAAAAAAATATTTAAGAATAGAAAGATCACATGACTTGTCACAAAGTTTATCCAAAACTTGGACACAGAAATATAACAAATCAATCGACTCATGTACACTTATGTTACAATGGCAATCCGTGTGCCGAGCATAGTGATTACTTCACTACCAGAGCTAATGAGGAAAGTTAAAAAATCTTTCATTTTGTATTTTAACAAGTTTTTAAAGGACGCCAAGGACAACCCAGTCCCTACTTTACCATTGTCGATATCACTACAACTCTATCAAGAGTCCAATAAAAGAAAGAATCCTGGAATAACCAGTATCTGATAAAAATTAACATGATGCCAGTGAGACTGGTAAGATTGCATGAGATTAGTATGGCTTGTGACAAAATATCAGTTATGGGATAAGATCATATATATTTTATATTATGTTTGAAGCTGATTGCAAGTATCCATAGACTGCAGCTATTTAATATCAGGTTGATTAACATCCTAGTCGTCGCTATAAGGTTATAAAAAAATCATAGTAAAAGAACTACCACACAAACAGGATGCGCTTGTTCCGTCGGAACCATGGATTTCCATAACACCCTCGTAGGTTAGACTTGAACACAAGTTGCATCAATAGATCAATTTACGATTCGACTCGGTGCATCGTTTCATTATGTGGGCGTCGCGCGATCGTTAATGTTAGTAACATGTCCACGGTCCCGGCTTCGAGGGAACACTGAGCTACGTTTGAACGACATTGTATATTATAATATAAGCCTATTAGATTTATAAATAAATTCGTTACAGTTATTCATAATGGGAACCTAGCAATTCGACTCAGAATTCAAATGTATGTAAATCCTGTTATTTATAGTTAAAAGCTGATCGATATTATACATCCGCGATATACATTTTATCAAAACTATCTTTTATTTATATTATATTAATATGTTATAATTGAATGGTTCAGAAGCAGCGCACTACAGGCCTGGACAGCTTACTTACTTAGTTCGACGGCAACAAACAACTTACATACGAGTATATGCGTTACGTATTACGTCTTATTATTAAGGAAAACATTTATTCAAATTGATATCGGCTAAGAAAAAAAATTCGCAATGATTTAAACCGTTACTGCTGACATCACAAAATTTCAGAAAGTCTAGGTAGCTCCACGTCTGATAAAAACTTTAGCCTTACTTTGATTTCATCCAATCTCTTAGACAATAGTACAATGGTAATTTACTATTGTCTAAGAGATTGGATGGTAATTTATTATTTTTTTTTATTTTATTTATTTAAAAGGACAACCAACAAGACGAACACTAATACATGGATTTTAAGGTAACATGAATATCAAACTAAAGCTAAGCGTCATCTTAATTATAGGCTGCCACGGCATGCAAATGTGGACTATGCAAATAAAACTTAAATAGGTTAGTTAACACTAAGCAAATGACAACTTAAACATTTTAATCATCATTTAACAATCATTATTTTTATATGTTAAAAAATCTAACAATAGATATAGATACTTGAATCAAACAGACACCATTGACTTGAGAAACTGACCGAGCTTGCGTCTAAATTTCAACGGCTTGTCAGAAAAGATGTCGATGTTGTAAGACTTAGATATTAAGTTGTACTGTCTCTGTAAGCGATTCATGGTGGCATGGTGACCTAAGCTACTTTTGGCACCTTTTGGTGAGAATGGAACGTAACGTACGCGACGCGGCAACTTGTATGGGATATTAAAATTGACAGATCGCAATAACGCAGGGCAGTCAATGAGGCCATTGATAATCTTATAAAAAAGCAATTGATCCAAAAACAATCTTCGCCCTTGTAGGCTAGTCATTTTAAAATAGGCAAGACGTTCCTTATATGAGGGCAGCAGTTTCGCTTTGTTAGATTGGTAGGATAGGTGCCAGAGAAATCTCTTCTGTATTCGCTCGATTCGCCTGATATGAACCTCATAATGTGGGGACCAAACCTGACTACAATATTCCAAACCCGAACGAACCAATGCCAAATACAGGAGAACTTTTGTTGAGGGCTTTTTGAATTCCATTGCATTCCGCAGCACAAACCCTAGCATCTGGAAACCTTTTGTTGCGACCTGGTCAATGTGCTTGTGAAAACGCAATTTTTTATCCATAATGACGCCCAAATCGCGAATAGAGTCCACCTCTTGCAATTTTTGACCGGCAATATTGTAGGACGGCGACAAATTCGTTTTGCATCTCGAAAATCTGATAAATTTACATTTTTCAGTATTTAAATATAACCTGTTCTCCCTACACCATCCAGCGAGTCGATCTAGATCCTCCTGTAATAGCAATGAATCATTAATACCTCTGATCTGCATAGACAGTTTCATATCATCAGCGTAAAGGAAACAAGCAGCATGATCAAAGATACCCACGATATCATTAATAAATATATTAAAGAGGATTGGACCCAGATGCGAACCTTGTGGAACGCCGGAAGTTGGCTGAAAGGAATGCGATGCGTAGCCATTAACCACAACGTGCGACTTGCGTTGATAAAGATAGGATTCAAACCATTCCAGAAGGCTGCCATACACACCCAAACGAGAAAGTTTACCCAGTAAAATTTTGTGATCAACTGAATCGAAAGCCTTACTAAAGTCGGTGTATATGGTGTCTACAGTAATACGGGAATCAAGGGAGCTAGAAACAAAATCCACAAACGGGATCAAATTAGTTACCGTTGAGCGAGATGCCAAAAATCCTGATTGGCAAGGAGAAATTAAATGCTTTATGTGATAGGACAAGACCGGGCAAACCAACGATTCAAATGCCTTCCCAAAGACTGAGAGTATCGAAATGGCCCTATAGTTCTTCACGGATGCCGAATCTCCCGACTTAAAAACTGGAACAATTCTCGCCTCCTTCCAGATCGAGGGAAATACGCCATTCATTAAAGACTCATTAAATATTATTGTTAGAGGAAAGGAGAGAGATTCACAGCATTGAACTACAAACAACGAGGGTATTCCATCTGGTCCAGCTCCCTTATTCCTATCTAGTCCTTTCAGAGTTTTCAGAACATCCTCCCGCCTAAGGGTGAGACTTCCAAGGAAGCAAGAGACTGAGTATTCTAGATCAGGTACATTGCAGAGAGGCAAGCTTGGCCGGTAAACCGAGGCAAAATAGGAGGCAAAGAGATTACAAATACCAGTTCCAGAAGTTTCTTCCTTATCATCGAAAGTCATTGCAGATGGATACGCATTGCTATTGACTTTTTTACTCTTGAGAAAGGTCCAAAACTTTTTTGGATTTACTGATAGGGACTTTTCAAGATCAGTTATATATTTAAGATAACAAGATTCTGTTAAATCAGAGCACCGTTTTTTAATTTTTTTGGAATGCCAGTTCGTCGAGTGGGTTATTGTACTTTTTGTATTTTATCCTGAGTTTATACTTCTCACGTGAGAGGCGAATAAGATCCCTGGTATACCATGGGGGAAACTTTTTTGATGCTGGTTTGCTTTTAGGAACATATTTTAAGATAGAACTTCTTAGTATTGAGTAAAATTTGTTAGTCATTTCATCCACTGAGGAGCACGAAGCCAGGTCACTTTCCCATGGTATCGAGCTTAAATAATTAGATATTTTTTCAAAATCAGCTTTATAAAAGTTATGCCTCTCATTATAATTTCGGGAAAGAAGTTTAGCTGAATACCTGGAAGGCAGCGTAAATACCAGCGGTGGGTGATAATCATCTACAGAACTGAGCTCAGAGTTACTTCGTGTCACTTTCAACTGAATACTAAGATTAGAGAGAACGAGGTCTAAAATTTTGCCTTTTTATATTGGGTAAGATTATTTAAAGCCATGAAGTCCAGTAAAGTGCTTTCAAATGAAGTCTTAGTCATATTATTGCCATTTACAGCAAACGGTACCTCCGTATCGTTCCAGGCAATACCACTCAGATTAAAATCTCCCAAAATTACCGCTTTTGCGTTAGACTCTAAGACTCTATTAGCGTTGTCGATATAATGTTCCAGAAAATGTTTTTGAATGGGCGACGGGAGGTAGACGCCACACAATAAAAGCTTATTTGGGGTACCTTTTTCCGTAGGTATATTCAATTCGATCCAAATATCCTCGCATTTACTCTCAAAATGGTGTAGCCTACGGGAATAAATATGCTTTGACACAGCCACCAATACCCCGCCACCAGATTTGTCCTGATGAAAGCCACTAGTCTCGCGGTCGCGTCTAAAAACTGCGTAACGATCACTAAACAACTCGGAGTCAAAAATAGTGCTATTTAACCAAGTCTCACATAACACTACTATATCATAATCGTATTTTAATATGTTTTTGTACAAGTTTGTCGTCTTCGTTCGAAGACCCCTAACGTTTTGAAAATATCCATTTAAACTATTGAACTTTAAGCCATATACTATTACACGATAGATTACAAAATAACAAAAAGAACCTAAGATAAATTGTCCAGGGTCGATTTATTACGCACTAAGACATATTCAGATGTATCAGTTTTCCGCATGTATATACGGCCGCCCCGGACCCATACATGTTTGTATTGAAGTTCTTTTGCACGTTTACGGGACAAAGCGTGAAGAAGCTTATTCTCAGGTGAAAGATTTTCTACTACATATATGGGAGTCTTCCTGTTAGGCCCCAATCCCACATGCTCCGTGTTCAATTTTTCCTGTGAGTGAGTTTTATTGTATTTCAATGCAGCGGCTAGCAGGGAGTCCCTGGAGCGAGGGCTGTTAAGTTTAACTAGAATAGAGCGAGGACGGATACTCTCGGGGTTCTTCTTAGCAATGCGTGAACAATATAAGATATCCGACTCGTTTATAGGGCAACATATGGTTTTGCTCAATTTTGTTACAATAGATAAAACGTTTTCAGACTTACGCTCTGGAACACATTGGATTTCCAGGTTCGATGCCCGAGAGATTTGCTCCATTTGATTAAGACGGCTAGTAATGATGATAAGATCACTCTGTAGGGTTTCCTTTTCCTTAATAATTGTGTCAATTTTAGTCTTACAGCCACTCAAATCCTTTTTACATTGCTCAAACGAATCACTCATGAATTGTATTGATTCCGTGAGACCAGTGATCTCTCCCCTAAAAGCCTGTAGTTGTCTATTCAGGTCAGCTTTCAAATCTCTCACGCATTCTTCCATGATGACCCTCATCTCCTCCTGTATAATAACACGCAACTCCGACCGTGATACATTAAAACTCGTACCGGCGTCTGACTCAAGGAGTGAATCCGGGCCTTTACGGCGCAAGGTAACGTTAGCTTTGGGGTTACTGGGCGTCGATGGCCGGACCGGTGTATTAGAGTTATCGCTGCGCGGCTTTTTATTCTTACATTCAGGGCACAGCCAATCTGCCTTAACTTCAGTCGATAGGTTTTTAAGCTGAGCAGGCGAAATGGCGACACATATGCAATGATAGTATGCCACACAGACACAACATTGCATGCATTCAGAGTCCTTAATCTTAGTATGACAGGCGGAGCATTGATGCATATTATGTTCAAAATCGCGGCAACTACGTATACATGCAAACAATGCAGGTGCAAGCGGCGCTTGAGTGCGACAGCAATTATGTCACTTGTCTCTTATCGCGCCGGGGGTGAGGTGAGGTACCCCGCGAGTCCACAGGCAGCTACCGAGTGTTATAGTATTAAAATATTATTTTTATAGTTAGCACAACACACGGGATTATAGCCGCAACTGCTATTAGAAAGCGCTTCGTAAGAAGTAAACTCGCACGCACTGACACTGGATTTTTGCTACACTAACCGACAACACGTCCACTTACGAGTAATATATTGACTGAACTCCTATTAATAAAAATATATTTGCTTTTAAAAGTTTTCTTAGCTTTTACAGCTTTTAAACTTTTTAACGTCTGGTTACGCGGAAACGATTCGTGTATTTTAATTTATTCGAGGGTATATTTCATATTGTCCCTCCGTACACACTGAAAGGGGGGGTGAGAGGGGAAAGAGGAGATTCTAGAAGGTGGCGTGATTCTTTCGACCAATGAGAAGCGCGCCCGACCGAGATGCATTGGTGGGAATGCCGAAGCAATATAAGCTCGCGCGCTGCCCTCGAGTGCTCTCTTGCCACGCGCTCTTGCCACGTGCTCTTGCCCACGCGCCGCTAGTCTGAACCGCACCAACCTGGAGCAATCGCGCTCCAGAAGTAACCGCCTCATATAGTGTGAGACAGTGGCGAAGCTAGAGCTCCAAGCTAGGGCAAGCCCAAGATATAAATTGATAAAAATATAGATTGTTGTTTTTAGCAGTTTTATAAAAATACACCAATCTTGATCTGTCTCCACGCTTCATTTTCATATTCAGTGCTGTCAAGGACGTGTTTAACAAAGCACACAGAAGGCATACCACTGCTAGATAGATTGTATTACATATCAGCAATTGCATAGCTTCGGTGGCTTTGAAGAAAGCCGTTTGGGTTTGTTTAAGCGAAAGAAAAAAAATATTTACATCCAATACAATACATGAACAAAAGTAAAACACGAACGAAGTACAAACAAACTATGTACAAAATAAAAAAACATAAACAAATTATTTACATTCTAATGGATAAGAGATAAGATAAGATAAGTGGAATCGTCTCGCTTTCTTATTGAAAGATTTAATTACGTCCACGTAAAATGTTGGTGAACGTTTTAATTGTACCAATAACTGTTTTTAATTGAGATAATTGATGAGTCTGAAATACACTCTTAACCTTGTGTATTATCTCAACAAAGTTTAAAGATTTCCTCTCCGATTATCACTTTAACACACTTCAATTCATCACAAGGAACACTATTATCGTCCATTTTCATTAAAAATCTTTAAAATAGCATAAATTTTGAACTCGTAATATTAAATCGCTTAAGATAAGCACACAGAGTAAATAAACATTGAAACGTGAAATGAACTTGCAAACTTATTGCCCGCGCGCCTCCGCCTTAAACAAATTTATTCCTAAAAGCCTGGCTTTGCTATATATACAATCGTAGTTATATTTCATTATAGAATATTTTGCCATAGGTTAGAAAGAGTCGTGTTCTCGAAAGCCCCGTAAAAAGCCCACGCGAGCGAGGGAGACAACTATTAGCTCTATTAACTCATTTTTTATGACAGCAGCAGAATCGCTAAGGCAATACGAGGTCATCGGTCGACATGTGTCGAACAGTAGAGTGCACGGGAAATTTGAAATAGCTTGAAACATTTCACGAGTTATTTTATTAGTTGATATTATTGATTGATTCAGGTTTAATATGGCAAGCCCGGCTTTTCGGCTTTAATGGAAGCTTCGCCACTGGTGTGAGATATCGTCGCGCACCACCCTCTTCCTTCGCACCATTGGCCTGGATCGCATCTCTGGGGCGCCCCAGAAGAACCCACCTCACGTCGCATCACCGCAACGGAAGCGCCTCAGCCGCATCGAAGTCACACCCCGGTAAGTGTGTTTTTCCTATAATTCAGTGCCTGCTTGAGCATTTGTTTGTCAGTTAACCCGCCCCATTTCATTTCTCCTAACGTGCTCAAGCAGGATTCCTTCATAACCTTGGCAAGCAATAGATTTTCGGAAGAGAGAGTACGTTGTCAAGGAACCGCGTGCTACATCCGCCATCTTGTTGAGGCAGAAGGAGCTTCCCGCATACAATCCATCTAGTATAACATCTCGCGTATTAGGGTCAAGGCTCGACCGGGGAATCGGACTCGGGAACTCTAAGGCCCGCCGCCCAATCAACGTCACTAAACAGGAACTTGTCATTGGTCAGTCTCACAGAGTACCTTTATATAAACTGAAAGTCAATATCTCACCCACTATCACCAGTGCTCTCACCAGGCAGTTACATTGTCACCGCTCGCTCTTCATAATTATATCAGTGTGTTTTCGTTACTTACAGGACTATCCATTAAATATTACGACTTGGCTATTTTAACAGACTCGGATTGCTTTCAAAAACGACTGGTTGTGATTTTCGGAACTGTGTACCCCTCAAACGATAACCTGCCACTCATAAACTAATTTAAGCTTATGCAAAGGAAGGTGTATTTTGTGTAAATTGCGACTCTGCTGGTAGTTTTATGTTGTTGGAAGATGGTACTAATATTCTATTTCAGTTTCTTAAAAATCATAATAAATAATAAAAAAACATAATATTAGTAGTTCTATTATAACCTTAAAATTCGCTACTTTTTTAAATATATCTTTTCTGCAGCTAGTCCGCTATAAAAATAATATCATATAGGAATTCACTAATGATCGACAATAGACAATATAACATACAATTTTCCGATGCTTTTGGTTCCAGGGCAAACAATGTATGGGCGCAGAGCAATGTTCTTTCCTTACCTAAAATCCATTTGAAATGACCAACGGAGCTGAAGCTATTTACTCGTAATTCGACGAACCTTCATCCGATGGAAAAAGAAGTCTCTCTAGTGGCAGCCCCATAGCGACAAGCTAAGTATAGGGCGGTACGCCACTGGATGTCGTGACAACGGACAGTATTTTATAGCACTCTTCGGAGGAGGCGTAGTAGAGGACTTATGGAGGGCTGTAATGATGAGTGGTGAAGTGCTATTACTTTTTATATGTATTAAATGTGAAATACCCAGACAGGCAGCGCGAAGCAGCGTCAAGGTTGTTGAGATGCTTTATGGTTTTGCAACACCAATACGTCTGCCCAACGAGGTAATTAAGGTTAATTTTCCGTACAATGGGAGAAGCCGTATAGTTATTGATCGAAACACATAGAGCCATAGACAACGGTGAACATTATATGTAAGTTGAGCAATAAGGAAAAAAAATCAAATCTTATCTTATCTACACATATTTAAAACATATACAAATTATTTAAAAAGTAAGAAAACCTATAAATAATTCATAAATATGAAATCTTGTTATACATCTATTTCTTATATAGTATTATGCAGCCCTACGCAACTTGAGGCAATTTAAAGAAATGCCCGTCTTTATACCCGTCATTTGTAGCATGGTAGAAGCGTTGCTTTGTTGTCCCCATATACAATGGTCAGAAGGTTACAATGTTGTGTGAAGTCATTTACGATAGGCCTTATTACCACATTATTTGTTTAGTTAGGGTCTAGCTAGTAAAAATAAACAGAGTGTAATTTATTCTGTTCGGGTTTTTCAAAATGAGTCTAGTCTTAGTCTAATGAAACTTGTATCCATCTAAATTATAGCTGTCTTTATTATAATGAAAAAAAAAAGATAAACAGGATGTTTTTATCTCCTCAGGACATATATAAGTAAAGTTACAAAATGTATATATGCCACAGCTGGGCACACGCCTCTTCTCATTTCCAATAGGTTATGGAGTTAACTTCAGTGTACGTTGGCGGACATTATATGTTCTCGAATTATCCTATTATCTAGACCGAATATCAAAGAGGTTTTCTCACGCTATTTCTTTTCACCGCCAAGCATGCGGTAAATCAGCACTTAAAGTTGCTTACTATCGGTGAGGATCAAACGTGTACGTTAAAAAATAATTTCTGTTTGAAGTCCGTCATCCAATTCTGAGTTATATTTAACGTATCGAATATTTACCTGATGGGGAAATTGGTTTCGAAGCGATTGCAAAAATTGTACCAAACAAACTATAAAGAAAGAAAGTTATTTAAGATTGCATTGTCATTCAGTTTCGAGCTATATTTAGTTTCAAAGTCTCTAGTTACTTTAAAATCGGTTGCAAAAGGACAATGGTGAACTACAAAACAAATTATTGATGATTTTTTTCTTGCGTCTACAAATGAAAAATATGTAAAAATTTATTGAAATCCTGAACAATTTTTCCTCAATCATACTACTGCAGGAAGTCAGGAATTAAAGATATTCCAGTTTTAACAAAATTGACATCAAACTAGGCTGTATGGTCTAAGAAACTTTGCCTGACTTAATTAGCAAATCGTTACAACAACAACAACTATTTCATTTAATTTTCAATTATGCTTACATAGAGAGATTACTAGCATAGAAGGAATCCTAAAATAATAATGCATTAGTATATTGAGAATAGTTTTGTGAATAAAATACACATAATACTAGGTTGGTATAAATAAATAAAATACACATAATACTAGGTATAAGACCTTTGCCTGCCCAAAATAGAGATTCGTAACAACTACAACAATTAGTCAATTTAGTTTTAATAAGGATGATATTTTTTTTTTTGATAAAACATAGTAAACTATTTTATTGATATCTGTAACGGTGGCATAAGTAGAAGCTTAAAAATTCCATCAAGAATTTTTTCGCCATTGTCCTTAGTACCGAACAGACACACAGACAGAGAAAAGGGTGATTTAAAGAATATGTGTTAAAAATCCACTGTGCGGAAGATATAATACCTACATCCACAAATACGTCATTCCAAAAAGTGTACGCGCCAACACAAAAGTTTACACCCAGATAAACGGAGACAATGAGTTTGTACCTTTGCGCAAATATTGCCTCTTTCTTTTCGATTCGAACAT